AGAGAAAGCTAATTAGTAACTTTCACAGCCCTACTGTATTGTTCTGTATCTCATCATACACTAGGAAAAAACAATATTTACATGATTTACAACTACCAATTGTGGTGTACATGACATTGTTCATGCCCCATGTCTCTTTCTACAGGGTACTGTTACAGGTCCCTAGCTGTCTAAGTGCTTAATAAAATAACTGAATGAAAAAAGTACTACATATTATACACTACAGCTTTAAATTAATCAGAGGCCTCTGAAACTGCTAGCACTGTCGGAAGTTAAATTTACACAGAAGTTCTACACCCCTTCCATGCATAACTCACAGCAGACCTTTTTAAGTTGGAATATTGTCAGATATCAAGAATAAAAAGGTAAGGTACAGGTTAGTCTGATAAAAATTTCTGACAAAACCAATAAAAGAAAAAAAAGAAGAGTTAGGCCGTGTTAGAGGGTACCTACAAGTACTCCCCCACCCAAGTTGATACAAAATAGACAAGTGCATTTACTTTATCAAAGTTACAGGATTTAGCATTAGTGTTACCAAGCAGCCAGAGAAGGAGAGAGATGCATGCATACTTCAGTTGGGTTACATGATTCAAGTCTGCTGATGGAATTTTATAGGGATGAGTATGGATGGTGCTTGAAAGCAGCTATGAGATCAAAAGGGTAATAATCATCGATCAGGCATGGTGAACTTGGTCACCCAAATTCAAGCGAGATTAAGTGAAACTGGAACAGGTAGAGAGTGGCTGGCAGGATGATAAGAATAGAGACTTTTTAAAAAAAAAAAAAAAAAGGGATAAAGGCTAAAAGAGCATATGAATTTTCCCCCCTCCCCCAATGTATGTATAAACAATTTAAACTAAAGGGCAATGAATGAGCTTCAGAATGGAAATCAGAAGGAGGTTCCTAGCTTTAAAACAGTCAGGTGTTTTGAACAAGCTTCCAAATACGGTAGTGGGGGCAAAAAAAACTGTATGTTTATTAAATGGATCTTGATGGGTCCCGTGATAGCAGAGGACTAGATTCAATAAGCCAGGAAGTCCCTCCCTGTCCTATATTTTTATACCCAACTCTTTCCTATATCAATGCCAGGGGAAGGTATTTTTAACTAAATTCTCTTTCTATCAATCGAACAACATATTTTTGGAATTCTAAACATTAGAGCGGCATTTAAAAATACCTCCACCCCTCTTTATAGATCTGGAATAGCACTCTCCCTTCTTCCTTTAACTCCTGTATATTGCAATGCTGAGGCACTACACATCTAGAACACAAGGCATCTAACTGCATACTACTTAAAATCTATGATAATAAAACTATCATGGTTCATGAGTTATCATTATGAAACAATAAAATAAAACCCTCAGGAATGATTATTTCACATTTAAAAAACTGTTTCTAGATCAGTGCTTTTTATCATTTGCTAAAACCATTACTTTTCACTTAAGTAGTAATACATTGGACTGTGCCCCCTACTGATAGCAGATTCATGTTACTATAGTTCATAAACTACTTTAACTTGGATAATGACATATTAACTCCTACAGCCTATAGGGATACAACAATATCCAAAATAGCATTCCACAAGGCCAAAACTGTTTACACCAAACACTGGTGGCAAGAGTAATCCAATATAGAAACACTATAGCATCATTCTCCTACTAGGTGTACCTTTCTAGAGTTGAGCTTTTAACAACAGACATACTTGTTTCCTATTACATTGGCCGTATGGAGACTGCGGGGAAGTGGCACTGTCCCTTTAGTTTCTGGTCTTGACCAGGTCATTGTTCCTTTAAAAAACAAAAAAACAAAAGCACACACATACACACACACACCACACACAGAGAAATCATTAAGATAAAAATTCTGTATCTGTGCATCTCACTATCTAGATTTCAGGAAGTGATAAGTATCAAATTCAACTAAGCAAGAAAGCTAAACTAATACCTATGTCAGTGATTCTCAACCAGGGTGGTGGGACATGCCACCAGATCCTTTGAAGGGTGCTGTGTGGCATGAGACAGTAAGCAGATAACTAAGCAGAAAGTGCAGGCTCAGGCTTGTCTCTGCCTGGCTGATTCTCCATCCCTACTGCTGGGGAAGGATGCAAGGGCTGCAATGTACACGTTATTTTTTTTTTTTTAATTGTGAATAGAGTGGCACCCAGTTATGTAGGAGGTGCTTCAAGTTCAAAAAGGTTGAGAAACACTAACTAAATGTTAATAATAATTTAATAACTTCAAAATAGAAAAAATGTTTTCATGCTTAAGCTTCTTTCCAACCCTCATATAAAAAAGTGTTGACAAACATTAACCTATCCAGCAAACTGAAACTGAGATTACACTCCCAATCCATTAATACATTTCAGTTTTTATAAGACCCTTTAAAATACCAGAGTGAAAATGAATACTGCAAAATACTAGCAGTGACAGTAAATACAGGTGTTATAGGGGGAAAAAAAAAAAGTCAGAATGTCTTAACCCAGTGAACAATAATTTATAGTTGAACATGGGCAAATCTTAGTAAACCCTCCTAGGTAACTGAGTTTAATACATCATTTACCCTCAAAAGCTTTCATTTTTCCTCAACACTAGATATGCCCCAAAACAGATACTCTACTGGGACACTCACCTATGTCAAGTTCCCAAAGGTCATTAAGTCGACAGCCACACATCCCTCCAAAAATATACATCTTTGGAATTCCCAAATCTTTTCTGCAATATATGATGGATGTGTGAGATTCTCGAGGAGAAGGCAAGATCCCTTTTGTCACTGGAATGCTCCAACCTATGACTCCAGAACCATGTTGTAGTTCCAGTTCATAGAAGTCATTTAAATATCTAGTGCAAGATATTAAAAAAAAGTTTCATTAAACAATATATAAATGGCAATAATACAGGTGAAATATATATATACAGCTCTTTATATTAAGGACACCTGTACCATGGTAAAGATCTAATTTTAATTTTCTAGTACCCCTCAAACATGATGGTATTCTGTACAACAAAATAAGGAGGATGCAGTTTGGAAGAGAAAAGGCAGCTGAAAAAGAAGGCTAATATTAATTCTAAGGAATACCTCTGAAAAAAAATATAGGGATAGTTAAGAATGAGAAATGGTGAAATAAGGTGGATTTCAAATCATGAAAAACTATAATAGTATATATCACGCATTTAGAAAGCCTGCTTTCATGCCATGTCTGATACACAATATTCCATGAAAAAGCCTAGTGGAAACTGGCACCAATGTTCTTAGCATGATTCACCACATCTGAAAAAGCATCTTCAGCAAGTGAGAAGTTAAAAGCTAAACTTATAAATACACTATGTTAGGGGTTGTCAACTGGGGGGTATGCGTACCCCTGGGGGTACTTCAAAGGGTCCCAGGGAGTACACAGGGGCAGGTGGGGATAGAGTGCTGACACGCTCACTCATCAAGCCCCTGCTCCACTTCTAGCCGCTTGCCACCTCCCCCCCAGGGGTACACTTACTAAAAAGGGGGCCGCTGGGAGTACACTTATTAAAAAACGTTGAAAATCCCTACACTATGTCACAGTGCATCAGATGATAGGCAAGATGCAAACAAAGGGGACAAGAAGGGGAAAACAGGCTATTTATGCGCTGAAGTTCTTCAGGTGGTGAGGGGAATGTACCATTGTTGTTGAACTGAAATAAATTATTTACTTGCAAGTTCCTTTTACAGAATTGTTTGAATTTTGGTTTTCACTTCAGCCAAATCTTACTTAGCAAATGGCAGAGAGATTTGGAACAGTTAACTGTTGTGACTAGCCACCTTCACTGAAGATCAACTGTGTGGGAGAGTCCACAACTCTTGATACTTTATTTTATCCTAATGGTCGCTGTTAAATCAAATTTACAATTGTACTTAAAGTAATTTATCAATACAAGCACACTTCATGGTTACAAAAAAAAAAAAGGCTTTCAGAACCAATTGACTAAATGAGAAAGATTCTCAAGGCTTCAAATTAGTTTGAAGAAATTGATATTAAAAACTACAAAACTGCACACCAAAATTAACATGCTATTAAGCTTAACTATTATTTAAAACCCAACTCAAAAGGTCAGAAAAACTTCAGTCTGACAGATGACTGAAGGGAAAGGAGACAAAAGTTCAGAAATGTATCATCAAATCCAAGGGATCAGAAAAAAGGGAGTCTAAATAATTCCCACTGCACCCTGCCAGAGCTTCTAGACAATGTTGCTAAAGGAACACACTACAGAAAAGACCCTACGCACTTTGTTCAAACCCAGTCAGTATATACCTGGGAACATTATTGTTTGAATCTTCACTTTCATTTGCAAGGCCACCAAATAAGTAACACTTGTTGCCGTATAATGAAAAACTGTGACCAAGTCGAGGACAAGGTGGGGAACCAGTAGATGGAGGCTGGGGTTTTACTTTTTTCCACAGCCATCGACTTGCCTTAAAGACAAAAAGACAGACATTTCAGAAACCACAAATTTATACTCTATAAACATAATTTGAGCATCCAAATGACAACAATTTGGAATATTCTTTGTTTGTTTTCTGTGCAAACTTTAGTGGACTATTAAAAATTTCCCAGTACCCTCCTAACACCAGCATGAACAAAACAAGCTAGTGAAAGTGCCAACAAATTCATGAAGACCTACTCACTCACTAGCCATTGTGTACATTATTCAGCTTTACTTTGCTTTGACAGAATAAAAGAATACTTAGTTTCTGCTTCAAGCCATGCTCTCTTCATATTTATATCCTATTTTCTCTTCAAGATGCACACAAACCCTACCCAACTTTCAAATTACACTGATAACACACAATATGCATTTAATAAAATGGATAAGTAATGCAATGTTTGAAACTGCATCGTTTCATACCTGTAATTCATATATATCATTACTGTATCTTCCATATTCAACCATTCCTCCAAATACTAGTATTCTGGTGCCGTCACAAACAAAACCATGAGCTGCACAGCCTGGGGGGATATCTCCTCTAACAGCAGGAAGAAACCACTGATTTGTAACTACAGCAAAATAAATAAATACAAATGTTTAAACAAATACAGAGAGGAATTAATATGGATTTAACATCTCTATCCCCAGAAAAGGGACACAGGCTATTAATCCTTTTTCTTCTTTAATAAGCATAAGTGGCTGTCAAAGGGCAAGGTTATCCAAGGACTTTTTAAAGTAGTCAGTTAACAAGGAAAACAAAACTTTCAGAATACCTCTGTAAAACAGGAGATACTCAATATACCAAGGAATGAATGTAAGGCCACTGTGGTTAAGTGACTCAACCCCACCTCACAGGCTGAGTCAGTAGCAGAGTCAACAGAAGAGTCCAAAAGTTTAGGCTCCCAGTACCCTTTACACTAAATGCTAGAACACATTAGGCATCATCTTATACTAGAGAAACTTTACAAAAGAGTTTTCTATGGTTGCCAACACGAGCAAACCTCCCTGCATGTGAGCAACATGGATAGTACTTTATGCTGATGGGGTTTCATTTGCCAACACTCTTTTCAGTAGTGTGTAGCCAGGTCAAATGGAAATCAACTTTAATTAGCTTGGTGTAGAACTAATGCTAGGAACTGCAGGAATTTTTTTTTTTTTTAAAGCATATCCCCAGTAACAGCATGGCCCAGGTCTCTCCTGCACACATCACCCACCTTAGCTTTTACCCTGCAATTCTTACAAGGTAACAAAACAATAAACTGACACAATGAAACAAGGCCAAAGGCCTATACCCTTGTGCTACAATATTTCTTTACAGGGACACTTAGCTTGAAATCTAATGAAAAATACTTTTGTTATACCCAACTCTAAATCCATCTGCCTGTTCTGTACATTCACAATTATATCATCATAACTGTTCTCTCTTTCTGCTATCAGACCTACTCCCACACTAGCGGCCTCTGACACTGAAATAAATTCCACAAGAAATATTGCAAATATACCAAATGCAAAGATTGAACCTCACTCTAGTGCTGTCTGCAGGTACAATTTAAACATTTGCTTTTGGAGTCTACTACCTCTATTTACATACAGCAACCTCTTTACCTGCCAGCTGCTATGACAGGACTCTCTGCTCGGAGGAAACTTCCTTCCTCTATGCCAGCTACTTTCATGCTTCCAGCCTTCAGCCAAAGTACTACCCCCAACATCATACCGCCACGTCTTCAGTGGGTTTCTGCTCCTACAGCCATGCCACTGAGGGAAGGGTGACAGCGGCGAGCTCACTCCCACTGTCAACTTGGGGGCATCCTTTTTAAACCTTCCCACCCCACCTCCTCTTTGTAAATAAATAAACAATAAAACACCCATGACAGCTTGAGACTACTCATGGTCCTCCAGCAGAGGCAAAGCTTTCTGAGGGTGCTCCATTTTCTGGGACCTGCTGCCTACATAACTGGTGCACCTAGAGAAGCTCTAGAGCACCAGGCGATTTTTGCAGGCCTGGCCCGGCCTGGGACTCCACACACCAACCACTAGGGGGGCCATCACATGCCCTGGAGCTGGGGGGAAAGGTGGGGGCAGGAAGAACCCTCCCATCCCTCCCCGCAAACACTTACTTCTGCTAAATAAATGTGCGTGTGAGAGGAGCCAGTGCCGCACCCCAGCATCAGAAGCCCTCACCTGGGGCGAGTAGGGAGCTGGGCAGCGCAGAGCAGGGATGTGTGCCAGCCAAGGCCTCTGCTTCTGACCAGACATCCCAATCTGAAGCTGAGACCCCTTTTCTCAATTCAAGTCAAACTGCGATGACAGCCGCCCTCGGGCCCTGGAGCCTTTCCACTATTTTTTTTGGCTGCCTCCCTTTCCCAAGGCCTCCATGTGCCCCCCGGCCCGGCTCTCAGCACTGGGGGCTGCTCGGGGGGGAAGGACCCCGAAGGCCCGCGGCCACCCCACCCCACCCCGGCCCGGCCCGGCCCGGCCCGGCCCCGCACCCGTGTTGTAGACGTGCAGCTCGTCGGCGATGCCCTCGTTGCCGCCGCCGAAGATGATGAGCAGCTCGCGGATAGCCACGGCACGGTGGCCGTGGCGGGAGCGGGGCACCGGCCCCGTGAATGACGAGACCCGCCTCCAGCTCCGGCCAGCGGCGGCCGCCGCCGCCGCCATTTTACCGTCCTCCCACAATGCACCGCACCCCCCTCGCCGGGCCCGGAGCGGCAGTTGTCCGGGGTCACGTGGCCCGCCGCAGGCAGGGTGGGGGTTCGGGACGCCGTGGCCTGTGGTGCTGCCCCTCCCACCGCTCACGGGGTCTCCGGCTCGGAGCGGGGCGCGCTGGAGACAACAGCCCCTTTTTCCTGCGGTGAAAGAGAAACGAGAGGCTTTGCCCCTAGGCCGGGGTCCCAGCCCCGCCTGACTTTAAGTTCAACGCAAATTAAATTTTTTTTTTTTTAAAAAGCCACTGTCGCTCCAGGAAGGTGCCCTCAGCCTGCAGAAAGCTTGGATAAAGCTACCCCGCCCGAATGAGGCCAAAAAAAATAGCAGAAAGGCGCCAGGGTCTGAGGGCTGCTGTCGTTGTGGTTAGACTTGGATTGGGAAAAGGGGTTGCGGCTCCATATTGGGATTTATGGTCAAACCCGAGGCTGGGAGTCGGGCCTCGGCAGGTCGCATCCCTGCGCTGCCAGTCGAGCCCCAGCCCCACCTCCTGCTCTGTGCCCCACGAGAGGGCTTCTGCCCCCGGGGGACGGGCTGTGGCACTGGCCACCTCTCCCATTCAGACATTTGTTTTTTGGGGTTTTTTAAATTAAATATTTCCGTGGTCCAAGCCAAATCAAGTCCAAATCCGTGAGTCAGTCCAGACCCATCAGTGGCTCTACTACCGGCAAACATCCTCCAGCTGGGGCTTCAGATGTTTCCAGATCCTTTGATGGGCATCCTGTGTGCAGGCCCAAGCCCAGAGGCTTGGGGTTCGGATGCCCCCGAGTTTTGTTTGCTCTCAGCCATAAGGCTGCAGGAGCAAGCTAGGGTGGAGTCTCCCTCCCTTTTCCATAAAGTGGGCATAAAGCGAAGATCTCGCCACTCCAGTAGCTAAGTGGGAGGTTTGCTATATATACGTTACCTTTGTGGGTACTACACCCATGCCAGGAGGGCAGTTGTTCCTGGGTACGGCTAGAAAAACCGCCTTGGTGGCCACAGTGTTTTCCATGCCAGTTAAGTATAGGACTGTGCTTGATCAGAGTGTACTTAGCAGAAGTGTTTGCTGAAGCAAAGACTTGAACTTGACTCTCTTGCTTTTTAGGGAGTGCCAGCCCCACACCCTCTCCCTGATCTTTCACCAAAAGCTTTGGAGGCTGGCTAGGGTGGTGTGGATGCTAAGGTGCATGGTTAACAGCCCAGATGTTGCAAGTTTGAGGCCATAGCTCACATGGTGGCTGTCAGGTTCTAACAAATCTGTGAATTCTGCTAAATGCCTTGTCATGAAGACACAGGAAGGAAGGAAGGAAGAGCCATAAACCAAAGCCGCCTTCTCAGGTGGCTTCCCAGTGCCTCCCATGCTTCCCCATCAGCTGTTTCTAGACCTAAGTGCATGTGACCGCACCTGAGTTGCTGAGTTTGGGTGGAGCAGAGGGGTGCATCTGCACCACTGCATTGGCCCCTGCGGGCTGGGGACCTCAGGGTATGAGTGATGATGTCAGGGACCTCCCAGAGTGACAGAACAGATACAAGTACAGTGGAAAGCAGAAGTGCTCAACCTCCGGCCTGCTAGCACAAAGGTGGCCTGTAAAGCCATGGCATCTGGCCTGCGGGGATCCCTACGGCCATGGATGAGGAAATTTGACAACAGAGGAGTAGTGGTTGTTAATATAGCCACCTTCCTCCCTGCTAATTTCCCAAACCCCACATCCCACAAAGTGGGCTGGAGCCAGACCAAGCCCGCTCCCCTGCTGTGGCTAGATCAGGACCAAACCATGCTCTGTTTCCTGCCATCCCCTCCCCCTATCTGGATCAGAGCTGGGCCATGCCCCCTTCCCCCACAGGCCTGGGTTGGAACTAGGTTACTTGCCACTCCCCTCTGTGCGCCAAATGGGGCCCACCATACCCTCCCTGGCACCAGATCAGGACCCAGCTGTATCCAGGCTGCAGACAGACCAAGCACTTCTCATCCAGCCTGCCAGCCGAAAAGGTTGAGCACCACTGATGTAAAGGGATGAGCCAAAAAGGAGCTGCAGACTCCCCAGGAAGAAGTGGCCTACAGCTGCCAGTACCCCAGAGCTTAATAAAAGAAATAGCCCCAAGTGCCTACTGTGGAAGCTAACTTTGCCAGAGGTGATGATTCTCAAGCAAGGGGCCACAGCACCTGGGGGTGCCTGGAGATCCGTTTAAGGGTGTCGCACAGTGTTAGCACTGTGATGCATTGATCCATAGGATAATCCCAGAGAGTTAAAATAGAACTTCATAGTGTTAAACCATTCACAGAAATCATAGTGAAGCAGGGCTGGAAGGGATCTCCAGAAGTCATCTAGTCCAACCCCCTGCCTGAGGCAGGATCTTCCCTATACAAATCCATAATCTAACCTCTTCATAAAACTGCTGTCAATTCCAACACAACATAAAACCTAACACCCTAACCTGCCACGGGTAAAGCAGGACCACGGCAGCCAGTGTCCTGCTCCTATAAAAGATTGTTAATATATGCTCAAGAGATCCCAGGGAGAGGGTCACACCCCCACTGCAGAGGAAAGCAAAGACCCACCACAGCCTGTATCAAGCTGACCATGGCATAAAGCGTTCTCACCCGCTGTGGTCTTTCTGAACTGTTTGTGACAGAAGAATTAATCCACTATTTTTCTCTAGTCAAAAACCAAGTGAAAACTAAGATGGGATTTTCTGAGGGCCTCAAGTCTAAAAGGGTTGAGAATTGCTTTTTTAAGCCAACACGTTCCCGTGTGTGGTCCAAATGTCTCTGGTGGGTACAGACAGAAAGGGAAAATAGATGAGATATGGGTAGATATGAGGAGAAATGGGCTTGATAGTAATAATAATAATAATAATTTGGGGATCCCATTATGCTATTCCTCTCTTTGGCACTGTTCCTGCAATCAGCTCTGCACAGGTAGACCCTTGTACCCAATGCCACCCAGACAGACAATATATTCTGGTATATTTGAAACAGGCTGCAAGTCCAAATTTTAGGCTTTTTATTTTTTCTCCACCAAATATCTATCCTGACTTTGGCGGGTCCCAAGGTATAGTTTTGGTTTAGCCTACCTGTGGTTTTCACAGAAGGACAAAGGTTGTTTGGAGCATTGTTAAGAAGACTTAAAGGAAAATAAACCAATGACAAAACTGTAGTTTAAAAAGCAAAATTAAAGATGCTGTCTGCGCAGGCTCCCTAAGCTTTTCCATTTTCCCCCTCAGGCTGTATGAATACTCCAAAATAAATTTAGAGTGCAAAATTATTAATACAGTACAATGCTCTTTTCATCATCCTTTTCTGAAAGCTTGATGGAAAGACTGTGTTTCTTATGGATGACATTAAGCTTTGGAGAGGGCATTTGTCAAGGTGAAAAGAGACTTTCAAAAAAGGGGGAACATGGAAACAACAATATGAAAGGGCACAAAAGGAACTCATGAGGGAAGATGTACTAATATACGTTCTAATTCCTTTTGTGGCCAAAATGGTATCCCAGATCCAGATTCCACAACTTTGCCAATATTTGTGAAAGGGGGAGGTTCCAAATTACAGCCCACATTCAGAGTGGAATGTTGTAAATGTTGCCTACTTTTATAAGAGGGGAAAAACATCACCATGTATTTACACGCTTTAGAAAACTGTACCATATTCAATGCTCACATTGGTTTTATGCACATTCCTGTTACTTGAGTCTGACAAACCAATAGCTACCCATTCTCTTTCCTTTCTTTACCAAAAATAATGATTAAATAAAAATGTAACCTGAAACCAAACTGCTGTTGAAGTCTGTTCTGAAACTATTCACTTCGCTTTCCCCATCTGGACTTGTGTTTCCTATGGGATTTGTCTGCAATCTGCCAGATGAGGATTTGAGCGGTGTTTGCCAGATCTGGGTCTGGATCATTCAGCACATCTGGAAGTGTTTTATGGGGCTCTCTCTGACTCCACCACTGGAACGTCTGGATTCTAAGCGACTTCTCAGCAGCAGAGAAAGAAGAAAACCAGCCGATCTCCAAAGTAAACTTGATGGGTTTGTAAAAGGAATCCAAATTTAAAAGTATTACTGTGGCCCTTTTATAGTCAAGGGTTTCAAAAAGGAGCCACGGGCAAGCCAGCGTTGGCATGAGTGCATGCATTTTGGGCCCTGTAGGAATCAAGTATTCTCGTCCTACAGTTCTTCGGGAGAAAGAAGCCCTGAATCCCGTGCTGCGTTTGAAAGGTAAAAGACTAATTAAGCAGGAAATATCTGAAGAGTAGTGTCATGGTTTCTTATTCAGCTTTCCCTGCTGTAGCCCCTCAGTTTGTTATATGATTTGGCATGTGTGTCTGGAGACTGTCAGATTCCAGTAACAAATATCTGACTTCAGGAAAATTTGGGTAAATGTTTGCAGAGTAACAAGTTAATTTCTTTCCTTCAAAAACTATACCACCAGGCTGTTGGTATCTAGGAGCTTCTCAAATATTGAACTGAAAGATGGATTTTATGCAGTTCTTAATAGGTTTGAATTTTAAAGCTTCAAAGCTTACAACCTGATGCAATTTGCACTGGTTTAATTATTTCTGTTCTGAAAATCGTTTGGATCTCTGACTGACAAGCTACACATCACAGATATCACATGTAACATTTACAGCTTGTGACAAATTTTTGCAAGAGTGAAATTGGCAGATCTGACCTTATTAAAATCAGTGGCTTCAGTGCCACTGGCTGGAGAGAGGCCTGAGTTTCATCCCAGGAACATAAAGTGGGAGTGTTGTCTACTTCATGTAAAACATTAATTCAAATTTCCAGAGTAGGAAAGAGACTATATTTGCATGCTGTGCACAGGAGGGGAGATTTCTAAGGGGGAAGTTCTTCTCTTCAGTGACATCCTAATGTGTTTTAATATATATTAATGGCAGCGCTATGCATGTGGAAAGAACAATTTTGGAATCTGGATGAGCAGTGTAGCTCTGTGAAATATTGAGCCCTAATATAATATGGTTCCACTGTCCATTTATTAATCTGCAAGCCACCATATTTACATGCATTTAGGCATCTAGGTAAGTGTTTACAAAGTGATTTCTCTGTTCGGTTTACATTTTCTGCTTGGTATTAGTTTGTCAAGGCCCTCCCTTCAACTCAGAATTAACCTGCAAAATGAAACTGAGTTTGTGATGCAATTCCAAAGAATTCTTACAGCTTCAGCTTCATCCTCCATCAGTTAATCAGTTATAAAAAAACTTGCCTATATTTGAAAAGAACAGAAATACGTATCTATATCTATTTATACATAAACACAGGGAAAAATAGGTTGTGATGGTTACCATGACTGGAGGGAGAGTTCATGTAACCATACATTATTTTCTTTGTTTACTGCAGTGTTGTGTTGTTATTGTCTGCTTTAGTCATTGGGCCGCTCATCCTAAGTCTTTAGTAGTTTCTTTCCTGAAGTGTCGTGGTTTTAGAGGATCAAGGAGTTGGAATATTAAAAGAAATCCCCCTTAATGATATTGCATCCGATAGTGACTGACCCTTTGTAGGAGCAGAAGAGGAGCTAGAAGGATCATTTACACAAGAAGCCAGCTCTGCTTTGGAATACTGGAAACAGGCTGGCTAGCAATGCTGGCAGCACTTTCTCAGCTCAGGGATAGAACACAAAAAAGCCATGCTCCATGCATATAACAGCACCATCATGGCAGACTCACAGGACTTTCGGCCTATTAATCCTTTTCACTTCCAAGTGCATGCATATTGTACAATTTTACCAAAAGTGACATAAAAGATATTATTCTATAAGGCACCCAGGAAAGAGAAAAAAATATGACCATTAATTCTTTAAAAAAAATGAAACAACATAACAACTATGGTATTCCCTTCATTGAATCAGCGTAAATTGTGCAGACATCAGTTTGAATAAGTGAAGGTACAAATAAGTCATTATATTTTTTTCCCCACTATTAAGGTTTTCCAGCTTTCCAGCTGCCTACAGTACAAAGAACAAAAATAATTTTCACTTCTAAAATTAAATTAAATGTTACATTTTTCCATGATCATCCATTATGAAGATTTAACTCTTTCCTATGATCCACTACTGGCCACTGCCAGGCCTTTCTACAATGACAGTTCTAAGGAAACCTCTCACTGCTGCTCTAGCATCATAGATGATGCCTGTGGCCAGTCCACACCACTGCTCTCCCCTTATTGCTTGCACCTAGTGCAGTTACCCTGGTGTTAATGCAAGTGTGGATTTCTTAAAACTAGCAACATAGACACAGCCTGAGAGATAGGATTCTAGACTAAACAGACCAGTGTTGTCTGATATAGGATGAAATTAACTATGTTTCTTTGTATTTTATAACAATACCGGTAAACAGCAGGTTTTTACATTTATTGTTTTGTTGTATGGGGAGTCATAGACAATTTTCAGCCAATGAAAAACATTTGCACATTGGATAAATATTGTATATGTTTACATGGGTTTTAATTGCTGTTTGACCTAATTTAAAAAATCACTATGATACCATGTAAAGTAATGCTGACAAAAAAACCTATACTGAGTTTATTGAAACACTGCTCATTTCACTGTAGTTACAGATCTTTGAAAATGGTTCACATTATTTTAAATGTTTTAAAAGGATATTTGAATCTCAATTTCCGAGTAATTGGAAGTCATAATCAGTTATCCCCAGTCACTGCAAGTACTTTTTCCATAAAATGTTTGGTAAAATTTGGGATCTGATTTTGCTTGCTTTCAAGTCAAGAGGTAAAAATCTAGTGATATAAAATTTGGTCCAGAAAAAACTAAAGTAGTATTATTTCCTGTGTTTATAATAACTTTCTCTCTTTTTGACTGCAGGTCACAGAATTCTTAACTAAGGAACACATGGCTCTGTTAAAGAAAGGTAAGAAAGATTTAGAACATTTCAAATGCTAAATTGCTTCATACATTTATCTTTTAAACAGCTTCATAAAGATCTTATAGTAAAGAGATTGCATAAGAGAGTTGAATGCAAATATAAGGCTCTAATTCTGCCAAGCACTTAAACACATTTAACTTATAGGCGTGTGATCAACTTCTTTCCCATTCAGCAGTGCACTCAAATATATTTTTAAATCCCATTAAATGGAATGGCTGATATGCTTCCCCTAATCAAGGCTTGTAAGAACAGGATCTATTCTTGATAGATGCTTAGGACTCACAAATTGCATTGAAGTTAATGAACCAAATTCAGAAATTAAGTAGAGGAGATGTAAAGTCAACAGGTCATGGTGTGGGACAATGAAATGGTGTAATGTATATGCTGAATGGTTGCAAATAGATATAAAAAAGGGCCTTAATTAAAACGCCCGGGAGTAACTTTAATTTCTACTTGACTCTTCTTTTATATAATTCCCCTGTTGCCTGTGTTTGTTCCAGTCTTTGGTGTGGAAATCACATAATTTTTTACCTCATCTTGCACATTAGTTCTGAATTGGAGTAACTAGAGAGCATCCTGGAGGGTGGCATTCCATGCTAGCTTGAGAGTCAAAGTGACTCATATCAGCTTAGTTCCATGCAACTTTTGCCTATGAGCAATTTCACCTCTTCCATTACCTATTTCCAGATTCTGATTCTTCTTCTGCCTTCCTCATACAGGAGTTAGAAAAGCTACTGTGTGATGTTAAGGTACTGCAAATCCCTATGAAATGAAATGCTGGAGGGAGACAGAGCCACACAGGGCCAGGATTTGCTGTGAAACTTCCAAGTTAGAGAGACAGCAGCAAACTTGAGAAAGCTGTGGTATGCCCCAAATCCCAATTGTCTTGGAGTGTGGAGAGCCTGTCTGCAAGAGTCCCTTGGGGTTTTTTGGTTAATATCTCCATTTTGACTATATCAGTTTATTCTACAGGCTGTGTATTTCCTTCATTGTAAGTCAGGCAGAAAACACTTGCTTTCTATCTCTCATCCAGGAATATATTGAAAGGCACAGTATCCTACTAGACATAGTTTTAATGTGTGCTACTCTGGGTGCTTTACGGTGAAGCTGACTAATTAGCTCTGTAGTAAAGCATCACTAACTACACATGTGGCATTATTATGTCACAGTAAACTAAATTAACTCCACTGTAGGATAGTATTGCCTAACAAGTATTTTCCTGCAGTGGAGTAGTTACATGCAGTGAAACGCATGTCCAGACAGTGATGGGGCTGAATGGGGTACAAAGGTGTTACAGTGCGGGGGCTGCCTGCCAACTAGCCCTGCACTGTAGCACCCTCATGCATCAGCCAGCCCCTCCACAGCATGTTGAGCTGGGTTCATAGATTCATACATGCTAGGGTTGGAAGGGACCTCAACAGATCATCGAGTCCAGCTAGG